ATCTGGCTATTTGGTTGTTAATTGGAGATAAGAATCTCTTAGACTTTTCTGCCATAGCTGGCTTCAAACCTAGATCCTCAGATCTTGGCTTCCTCAGTAGCTAGCATTACAGGAGTGAGCCGCCAGTGGAGAGCTACCTCTTCAATTTCTTATTTACTTTATTACAGTTTCCATTGTATAGGGGTTTTACATCTTCATTTTATTTCATTCTTTAGATTTTAAAAGGGATTATTATTGTATATGTCTTTCACATACTTCAGTTTTTTCATTCCTGAGATTTTTAAAAATGGGATTCCCCTCCCCCGCCCCCATGATTTTTCCTTAGTCATCATTGATGTATAAATAAACTCCTGATTTTTACATATCGATTTTGTATCCTATCTTGATGAATATTTTTCTTAGATATTATAGTCTTCTGATGGAGTCATTAGTATGTTCTATGTAGGGAATCACATCATCTAAAAATAATGATAATTAGACCTTTCCATTTTCTAATAATAGCCTTTTTACTCTTCATCTTAATTTCTATTCTGGTTAATATTTCTAACACTATGCCAAGTAAGAGTAGTACATGTACACTTTTATATTATTCTTGATTTTTAAGGAAGTCCTTTCAATTTCTCCCCATTCAGTGTAATACCAACTATAGAATTATCAGACACAGCAATCATTATGGTGAGATAAGTTCCTTCTATTCCTAGTTTTTTTTTTTTATCATGAAGATATGTCAAATAATGACAAGATTTTTTCTACATCCATTGAGACAATAATAATAATATTTTGGTACTTAATTCTACTTATGTGCAGAAATATGTTAATTCATTTATGTATTGAACCATCCTTACATTCCTGGAAAAAATCCAATTTCATTTCAATTTATTATCTTTATGATTTGTCATTAAATTCAGTTTTGTTGAAGATCTTAGCATCTATGTTCATTAAGGAAATTCTGTATGTGTGTGTGTGTGTGTGTGTGTGTGTGTGTGTGTGTGCGTGTGTTACCTAGGGCTTGAATTCAGGGCCAGGGCAATGTCTCTGAACATTTATGCCCAAGAATAATACTCTACCACTTGAACCACAGCTTTTCTTCTAGCTTTTTGGTGGTTACCTGGAGATAAATGTTTTACAGATTTTCCTGCCTGAGCCAGCTTTCAACTGTGATCCTCAGATCTTAGCCTCTTGAATAGTTAAGATTACAGGCATGAGCTACCAGTACCCAGTGAGCTTTCTTTATTGGTTGTGTTCTTGTCCTCTTTGGGTAACACAAGAACACTGGCTTCATAGAATGCATTGATGAGTTGGAGCTAGTTATCTATTAGTTCTTTCTTTTAAAGGTCAGGTAAAATTTAATTGTGATTTTGGTCCTAGGCAATTTATGGTCAAGAATTTCTTCAAGTTTTGTTATCCTAGAAGGTCCTTATTTCTCTGGGTATATATCAGGGTTGCCAGGGATTTTTCTTGATAAATGGCTTTAATGGATGTGTCACTTTGATGCTATTCTTTTGGGCTTACCTTTATAGACGACTTGGCACTGTAGTCTTGAAGTATTGAATAGTTTTGTCCCAAACTTTTGGTATTTTTACCATAGTATGTCAGAGGAAGTTTCTTATCTACTCATTTCTTATCTACTCATTTGGGCCTCTAAATGCCTTCTGTACCTGAGTGTCCTATCTTTTTGCTACCACTTCATAAAGAAGTTTTCTATACCTTGAGTCTGTTTCTGTCTATGCAAAAAAGCCCATCGTGAGTTTGAGTTTGTTATTTTGATTATGTATTTCATGTTTTGTTCACAGTTTCTTATTTTTCTTTAATTCTATTTGGTTGTTCAAATTAACAATTTTAACTCCAATCTCCACCTGTCTTTTGCTTGATGCAGTCTATTATTGAGGCTTTCAGCTGAGTATTTTATTTGATTTATTGAGCCATGAATTCTAAGAATTACTATTTACTTTTTTCAAAATATCTTCATGGAATTGCTCTTTCATACCTTTCATACTCTTCATTGTTTTCATATTTTATTCTGTTGTTAATTATGATATGCTTTGAATTTTTAATTATTTTATAATTTTGTTTTGGGTTACTTGTCTGGAAGTTTATTTATTTTGATTTCATTACAGTCAGTTATTGTGGAATTCTTAACTTTCAGAAAAGTGAAAGTGCATTCTTGTCACTTTTTTTTTCTATGTTGAAATTTGCACTATGGGGCCACATAATCTGCTGGAAATGTAAATTACCCATATTGCTCAAGTTGGGAGTGTTCAATAAGTTTTGGTAGGACTAGTTTGAGATTGAGCTGAGGTGCAGTTTCTCACAACTAGACTCAAGGATTATCTTACCTGGGCTTCATCCTGCAGGAGCACTCAGAAAGTAGAATACAAACCACAGTAATCACTACAACATATAAACGTAACTAATATAGGAATACAGTCATAACCAATTACAGACTGATCTAAGGATGGCTGGGGAGAACACAAAACCATGACCAGAGGATCACTCGGCTTTCATTTCTCCTGCACACACTATTGTTGTATTGACACCGGTTGTAGTTCCAAGGCAGATCAACATCTCTAAGTATCTTGTGTAGTCTGCGCAGAGAGAGGGGGTGGTGGTGGTGCAGAACAGCTGTTGGATGCAACCATTGCACAGAGTGGAGCACCTGATGCATACACCTCTCTTGCCACTCTGGTGATATGAAACTTCATTCCTGCACCTAATCATCTGAAACTCCTAAGGCTAGCTTCCCAAATCAATGGATCCAAATGTCAAGTAACTTTTGTTCCCTCAGTTTCCCATCACATGAAACTCATGCTTTTGATACAAAATCCTTCCTCATAGCAATAGTGGCCCTCGTAGCTAACACTGGCTGGAACTGTGTATTTCTTTGTCTATTGAATATCTGAAGTAAAAAAAAAAATGGAGAGATGTTTGGCCTTCAAAGCTCGAACATATTCCCAATATGGTTTCCCAACACTGTACCATGATTACTGTTGAAAGGAGACATAATTTTTCTAGTGTCAGCATTTTATATAGATGTCAGTTCCCTGTTTATTTAGACTAGACTTGCACATGGTACTGAAGCTGATGCTGTGATAGTTTCATTTCTTTCACCTCTATCCCTTTGCCTTTCTGTACCATTTTCTAGTCCTGGGATGCTCTGTCATATTCTGTTTCAGTCTCCAACGTCTCTACGTTTTCTCATGTCTGTGGCTTCACAGGCTTGAAAACCTAAACTTCAGTGCACTCTCATCATCACCTACTCCACAGAGTTGCATATCTCCTGTTGTTTTGATTCTATTCCTGGGCAAACTGGTGCTCCCCAAATTGGGGATCTCAGGAAGCAACTAATATTCAGTTTTAGTTCCTAAAACTGGAGTATTTCTTGTCCTCTTTTTTTTTTTAATTTGGGGATGGAAAAAATCCATCCTTATAAATATTTCTATTTCTACTTTTCTGGATCAAATAAAATGATCACTATAATTGTTATAAGGGATTGTATTTACTATGTCTTACTGGATTTTGGATAATGAGTTAAAAATGTTACATTCAGTTAGGCATGGTGGATTATACATAGAAATCCTAGCTATTCAGGAGGTGAATATTGGGAGGATTGTGGGTTTTGGACATTTTGGACAAAATATTAGTAAAATCCCATCTCAATAAGTCAGCCACATGTGATTGACATGCTGCCCATGATCCTAGTAATACATGAGCCATAGATAGGAGGGTTGAGGTACAGGGCTGGACTTTGGCAAAACTATGAGATGCTTTTTGAAAAATACCAAAAGAAAAAAAGAAAAAAGAATGAGGGTCTCAAATAGTATGTGCCAGCCTAGCAAGCATGAAGTCTGAAGGTCAATTCCCAATACAACTACAATCATTATTGCAAATAATCAATACAAAGTCCTCACAAGGTGTCTGGTCTTTGTCCATCCTACGAAAGATGGACGGGGTCCAAGGAAAGGTAAGTGCGGCCACTTGCCTGTTCCCAGCCTCCCTTAGACCACGAGACAAACAGACCCAGCGGGGAGTCAAGTCAAGCTGGAAACTCATTTATTACCGCACAGCAAGCCCTTTTTAAAGCAAAAAAGAGCTGGTGGCATGGCAGGGGAGGAAGAGGAACCAATCACTGTCAAGGTCACACCCTATCATGCACCTAAGCTTCCATGGTCTGGTTACATACTGAACATAAAGCAAATCGGGCTCTGCCCACTCAACTCCTCTCAGCGCCATCTTTGCTGCCCATGTGCTCCACAACAAGGAAGGGGCTATTGCTACTATATCTTACAGAAATTGTTTAGTGAGATTAAGGAATCTGTTCAGTGTTCCAAATTTACTTATGTGCTGGAGTTTGAATTTATCATGTAATCACCATTTTTGAGATTGTTTTTTTGGTCATGGGGCCTGAACTCTGAGCCTGGGCACTGTCCCTCAGATCTTCAGCTCAAGGCTAGTGCTCTACCACGTGAGACACAGTGCCACTTCTGGCTTTTTCTACTTATGTAGTGCTGAGGAATCGAACCCAGGGCCTTAGCATTCAAGGCAAGCACTCTGTCACTGAGCTATCTTCCTAGCCCTTTCAAGATCTTTAACACCATTGAAGACTGGAAAATTTTCTGGATCACTTAAGAGTCCAATTTCAGGCTAACTTTGAGCAAGTTGTATGGAGAATCACCTGTCATCTCAGGTACCTGGAGACCCCAGGATTAATCTGCATGGAGTTGGGTTGACTTTTGGCTTAGATCAAGGCATCCTAAACACAAAATCCATTCATTCTTTTTTTTTTTTTTTTGAAGACTTCTAAAGTGTGTTTTCCTCCCTTGGCAAGTGGGATGCCAGGCCTTGGTTTTTAGAATTTCAAGGTGGTCTTAGGATAAAAGCATGTGGACTATGTTTCCTATTGCATTCCAGGCTAGCCCAGGAAAGGTGGAAGAAGCTGTGAAGGTGGCTACTGATGCAGGTTATCGCCACATTGATTGTGCCTACTTGTATGAGAATGAGGATGAGGTTGGAACAGCCATTCAAGAAAAGATTCACAAAAAGTTGGTGAAGCGGGAGGACCTCTTCATTGTTAGCAAGGTACATGAGCCCATTTGGTGGATGGACTTAACTTCAAGGAAAGATGAAGTTTCTGGATGTGGTAAGAACCAAGGAAATATATGTATGTATGTATTTATATACATACATATATATACACATATATATGCATATATGTATATATATATATTCATATATCCCCAATCCTCTTCCTCATTGCCTTTATTACATACCCTGTTGCAAATATTCACACTAAAACTAGTATGTTGAAGACACTCTTTTTTTCCCTCTCATCCTGATTCTTCATGATGGCGATGGCTCCTTTCATGGTGCATATGTATGAGTGTTCTGGTCCTCTTGATTTCCATTTCTCTATCAGTAGATCCCATCTGACCATTAGCATTCAGTAGCTAAGGGTGCAAGGAACAGATGCTGAATCTGCTTTTATTTATGGTGATGTTGATGGCGCTGAGCTTCTCAGCCATGGACAATGGTAGGAAAATGGTGGGAAAATGGAAAATGGTGGGAACTTAATTTTCATTACATTTGAATTTCTTTTTTATTCAGTTAGGTAAGATCTGAGGAATAAAACATTTTTAAAAAAAGAAGGTAGGGAGTGTTCAGGGTGACAGTGTTTTGAGTTACTGGATCTACAGTACACACAACTTGCTACAAAACATTAGCTCCATGTAGTTTGATAGCACATCTGATGGGAAAAAGTGAAGCACTGTGTGTCATGGATATGTCTAGATAAATATTTTGTAACTTATCACTTGGGCCTGGTGGTCTTGGAGATATGAAATACAGAAAGGGGACCACTTGCTTTCAATCACATAGACTTTAAAAGCTAGACACAATTCATACTCTTAGGAAGCAGGCAGCAAAGGAAGATGATAACAGGTATGTATATATTCAGTCAGTGGCCAATATGATAAAGAAACAAACTGACCTATAAAACAAAAAGAATGCAAAGAAAATTGAAAATTCCTCTTATTGACATTCTGATCCATGATGACTTGCCCAAGTTGGCTTATCTTAACCAACATGCTATCAATGGCCGATCTCAGGTTAGATTGGGTTGCAAATCACAAGGTTGGGAGAGTGAGTTTGATGTGGCCCTTTTGCTGCTCCATTTTTATGTTTCACTGTTCATTTGTAGTTGTGGCCCACCTTCTTTGAAAGAAACCTGGTGATGAAAGCCTTCCGGAAGATGCTCAAGGATCTGAAGCTTGACTATCTGGATCTCTATCTTATTCACTTTCCACAAGGACTGAAGATATGAGCTCTTCTCTGCTCTAATCTCTGGCTTCTGTGCCGACAGGTGCCAGAGTAAAGTAACTATGTCAAGGTAGAGGGATAAGGGTGTCAGAAGTGGGAGTTCTTGTGCAGAGAAGCAAGGCACTGGTCTGGAAGTTGGGAGGAAAAGAACACATGTGGTTGTTGGGGGCCATATGCTTATGTTTTCTTTTAGTTAGAACCAAAAGGAACTATAACAACTATGAGAGAAACACAGGCAAGCTACAACTGCCATATTGCCTTCTTCTTGGTTGCAACCAAAGAGTCTCCTTTCAGGAAAACTCTTGGTATACTGCTGCAGATCATATTGTAGGGCTCTTTCATGCTGTGAGCCAAAGCACATCTAGAAAGTGATGTCTTGGAGAAAAAGTATGGCAGTTCTGTAAGATAGCTGGTCTTCATTGTAGAAGCAACCCTAGTTGTCCAGGATTCTGTTCCTGAGTAGTTGAAAGGACACAGATGGTTTGGTGATGGCATTTTATCTCTAACTCTAACCACCTAGAAGCTGTCATAACAGAAGCTGGCTGGTACTTCTCCCAGAAAACTGTATCTAAGATTTAAGTCACCCTTGTCTACAAATTCATGAAATTGAAGTTTGCTCCAAGTTTATATGGTGCCTGGGTATGTGAGGTGAATGTGCATTATAATATTGTGATAGCCAAGATATAGAAACATGGATACTAAATTTAATCCAATAGTTTCTGAAATATTCGAACTTGAATACTACAGTAGGTTTATGGGCAGATTTTAATAAAATGTACTGTTTTTGAGTATAATTTCAAAGCCTGAAAAGTTTTATGCAAGTTTAAGTATTTGCATCCAACAGCGGTCTAATATCTGAAAGATTTGCTCAAGAAACTAAACACTCAAAGAATCAATAACCCAATTAACCAATGGGCAAAGGAGTTAATAGAGACTTCTCAGAAGAAGTAAAATTGACTAAACACATAAAGAAATATTCAACATTTTTGGCCATAAAGGAAATGCAAATCAAAACAACACTGAGTTTTAATTTCACTCCAGTATGAATGGTAATTATCAAGATTACAAACAACAATAGATGTTGGCATGGATGTGGGAGAAAAAGGAACCCTGTTACACAGTTGGTGAGATGTAAATTGATACAACTACTGTGGAAAGCAGTTTGGAAATTCCTCGAAAAACTAAACAATGTACTATGACTATGATCCAGCCATACCACTTCTGGTCATTCATAAGATTTTTTTGTAATTCAGAAGATTACATGTTAGAATACAGTAAAACCACTTGCACAACCATGTTCATTGCTCAACTTTTTACTACAGCCAAGCTATGGAAACAGATTTGATGCCGTTCAGTAGATAAATGCATCAAAAATGTAAATGTAGATATAAATGAATGTATATCTATCTATCCATCCATCTACTTCCCTACCTACCTATCTGAATTTTACTTTCCATCAGGAAATTTTCAGAGAAAAAGGTGGACCTGGAAAAATTATGTTAAATGTAGTAAGTCAAACTCAGATAGACAAAGGACATGTTTTCTCTCACATGTGGAAGTTAGATCTAATTTATAAATATATGTTTAAATATATACCAGGTCATATGCATACATACAAAAGTATGTGTACATACTCAAGTATGTTATATGCAGAGGAGAATTCCAATCATGTAACTCCTTTGAAAAACTCACAGTCAACAAAGTGACTACCAGGATGCTGGAACTGAGGTGTCAGTGGGGGAGGCAGGGTGAGACCAAGGGGAAGGACTTACATGAATGAAGAGAGGAAAGGTGAAAGATGTAGGCATAATATTCAATGTGTATATGTGAAAATGGAACTAGGGAAATTGAGGAGATAGGTGGGGATGTAGAGAGATGGGGAGAATAACGAAAGGGGTTACATTGATCAAGATGCATTGTACTCATAAACTGACACTGGATTGAAACCCCTTTGTACAACTACATAAAGATAAGGAAAAAGTGTATTAATAAAAGTCATGGTGCTGAAACTAACAGAATAAGGTGTCCAATAGAGATTCCAATAAAATTTCTGTTCTCCATTACAGCCTGGAAAGGAGCTCTTCCCCAGTGATGCTAATGGCCAATTCATCATGGGCACAGCAACATTCTTGGATGCCTGGGAGGTTAGTTCTAGCTTTTCCTAAGTGTGCTGCAAAAAGAATTTTCCTTCAGTTGTCCTCGAGACTCCACCGTGGTAAGAAGAACCCATGTGTGTCGTGTCCTATTTAATCTGTTTTTCTTCAGTTTTCTAACTCCTTTCTCATGATCTTGGGATTTGGAGGTCCATTTGAGACTATATTTTCAAAGGAGACTGAAACTATGTTGTACTCCAATTTGGGGAATATATATACTGTTCTGAAACCATGGGAAAGGTGTTTCAGGGATTTGACTTGAAATTGCAGGTATTAGCTGAGTAACCTGAGGTAAGTTATTTGAAAATAAAATTGAGACCCAGCATATTGCTGACTTGTCAGGTCATGGAGCAAGTATGTGGCACAGCTGGGTTGGACTCAGTACCCAAGTTTATCTGACTTATAATTACAACAACATGGCCTTTAGCACTTTCACAGAGACCACACATCTAAATATCAAAGAACACAAGGAAACAATGACCTACTTTTGCAAAACTGAATTAATGAATGGAAGACTTTCTTGGATAATTTTACTTAAACCATTTTATAGCCTAGCAAGTGTAAGAAGAGAACAAAAAATTTTTTTTTGGGTCCGGTCGTGGGGCCTGAACTCTGGGCTGGGCTCTGTACCTCAGCTCTTCAGCTCAAGGCTAGTGCTCTACCACTTGAGCCACAGCGCCACTTCCAGCTTTTTTCTTTTTGCTTATGTGGTGCTGAGGAATCGAACCCAGGGCCTCAGGCATGCAAGGCAAGCGCTCTACCACTGAGCCATCTTCCCAGCCCCAAGAGAACAAATCTTAAATAGTAACAGTCTCTAAGAATTATGTTTTATTTTATAGAATTTGTTCATAGAACAATTCTAGAAAACAACAAACCCACTACGAGTGGGAAAATTCTGGGTTTTGTTTTAGATTGACATAGTCTTTCCTCTTTACCATGCGAGATACATAGTTCAAGCACACAGTCAAAATATTGCTCAGTAGAGCCACAAAAGAGGTTCATGAAGCCTAAACCGTCTGGGAAAAGCATTACTTTTTCTGCTAATTATAAAGCAAAGCTATACCAACAAACAAAAATAAAAACAAAGCCCTTGAATTCAAGCATTAATCTGTAAAAATAGATCAATCAATTTATTATTCTGACATGTTAGGAAAAAAATAGGATGGATAAAAAATTTGATGAGCAGTCTAATGGTTTAAATACTGGGATCCAACACAAAAAATATTTTACTATTTTTGAGACTGGAAAGTGTGTCTAGATTTGCAATATAGCCTAAGATTTTAGCATTTATTTTCATTCAATTGAATGCTTTAAGTTGATATGATGATACAACATGACCACTTAAACATTGTAGTAATAATTTATTGTAAGACGTGCAAACTAACACATCTAATGTTGGCTCCATAGGATTATTTTGCCTTGGTTCTTGATATTTGTATTAAGTATTGCAATCATCTCACAATCCTCTGCTGTTGGGGTACTTGAAGAACCTGATTTTCATAGTCCTGTGCCACCTAACAGAAGACAAGAATGTCTGCTAAATAAATAATTTTAAAGATATGAAAAAAATCAAGATTTGGGGTAGAGGCTCTGCTTTGATGTAGATAGGATCAAATGTGTCAGCACAGATTATTTCTGTGCTGGAACCTCCTGCATCACCCGTGAGAACAGGGGAGGAGGAAAATGTAAAGCAGTGAAGAAGTAGTATACATCCAATCTAAACTTGACCCAAGACACAGAAGTGAATTCATGCCACATCACTGTCTTGATGGGAGCTCTGAGGATCTTCTTTATATTCTTTTGTTAGTTTGACATCCTTTCTGGTAAGGAAAGGAACTACTATGGTAGTTTTCAAAATGGTGCATCAAATTACCAGAGTCTGCCTGTCTCCTTCCTTCCTTCCTTCCTTCTTTCCTTCCTTCCTTCCTTCCTTCCTTCCTTCCTTCCTTCTTTCCTTCCTTCTCTTTCTCTTTCTTTTCTTTCTTTCTTACTTCCTCCTTTCTCTTTCTTTTTTTCTTCCTTCCTCCTTTCTCTTTCTTTCTTTCTTTCTTTTTCTCTCTTTTTTCTTTTTCTTCTATTTTTTCTTTCTCTTTCCTTCTTTCATTCTCCCTCTCTCTTTCTCTCTTTCTTTCTTTCTTTTTTCCTTCCTTCCTTCCTTCTCTCTCTCTCTCTCTCTCTCTCTCTCTCTCTCTCTCTCTCTCTCTCTCTCTCTCTCTCTCTCTCTCTCTCTCTCTCTCTCCCCGCCCTCTTGTGCCAGTACTGGGGTTTGAATTCAGGGCTTAGGTGCTGTCTCCAAGCTTTTTTACTCAAGGCCAGCATTCTAACCCTTGAGATACAGCTCCATTTCGAGCTTTCTGAGGGTTAATTGGAGATAAGAGTCTTATGGACTTTCCTTCTTGGCATGACTTTGAACTGTAATACTCAGAGTTCATCTGTCTCATCTCAGTAGTTGGGACACAGCTGTAAGACACAGCATCCAGTTACCAGAGAAGTTTTAAGAATCCCCATGTTTATGGGGGAAGAAACTCAGAGCAAGGATTTTGGACATCAATTTTAGAGCTTTCAGACGATTCCAAGTCACACCAAGGTTGAGGACCACTCAGTCTAGAAGTGTCCTTTGCAAATGTTCTGCTTGTTCTTGCCTCAAAGCCTTTGTTCCTGCCTTCCTCCCCAGCCTGCTCAGGTCTCCCTCTCTTCCATGTCATTTTGTGATACTGAGTTAAGTTCCAGTTGTGAAGTCTCTCCTAAAATCCTCATGAATTCCTCTCCTATTTCCTCCCTGATCTGAGGGATGTGCCACTGACAAATAATCTAAGATAGTCTTAGCACTGATTGCTTCATAAAGGGGAACACTAGTATATTAACTGTAGCCTTTGGGCTATAGTAATCTTAGAAGCAAGACATTTATTATTTTTATGGGCAGAAATGGGACATACAAAAATAAATACATGTTACATTTATAGCTGTCATGACAGTAAAAGCAATAGTATTTTAGGGAAAGTTTGGAAACTATCTATTAGGTATTTAATTTATAAAAAGATACCCTTTCCTGGGGTATAGTTTTGGTGGACGAATGGAATGTGAACCCACTTTCGCTCTATCTTTACCCTAGGCTAGGCGCACCTTTAAGGAGACAATCTATCCATATGACCTTACCCTATTGCAAGCGAAACTAAGGTTGGCCTGGATGAATACCTAGAACCCAGACAAATAATGTCTCTCCATAGGCTTCCAGGCTTTTCTTGGCTAACAAGGTTACACAGGTCATGTGTGAAGTGAGAGCAACACGCAGATAAAACCACTTGTTAGATTTGGACTGCCAAGGGGCTGGAACCAATACTTGATATGCATCCACTTCCTGGATTGAAATCTTGTCCACTTTCCCCTACCTCAGGGAGGTACTAAACAACCCACTCTACAGACTCTCCAGAATTGGACAAAAGGCATTCCTTTCTACAACAGGCCATGGAGGAGCTGGTGCAGGAGGGGTTGGTGAAATCTCTTGGTGTCTCCAACTTCAACCACTCTCAGATTGAGTGGCTCCTGAACAAGCCTGGACTGAAATACAGACCAGTGAATAATCGGGTAATTTGTTAGCAAGGTTTTGTCATCAACATTTTGAGGCAAATTAAATACATCATTACTTCTCATTACTGTGACAGCATACCTGACAAACATTTCAGAGGAAGAAAGATTTACTTTGGCTCATGTGTTCAGTTCATGATTGGCTCTTTCCAACATGGGCCAGAAGTGAGGTAGAATATTAGAGCAATGTAGTGCATGTTGAAGGAGTCAGTTCACCTCATGGTAACTAGAAAGGAAAGAAAGACAATGTCTTTGACCAATTATCATCCTTTTTCTTTTTCTTTTTCTCTTCTCCAAATCATCAGGATATTGAATTTTAGAACCCTCATTTGGGCCAAGATTTCTGCATCCAGTTGATGCCCCACATGCTTGTGATGGTAGAAATGCACACACACAAGCACAGAAGTGTGTTTTACTAATCTATTAGGTATCTCTCCAATCCAGTCAAGTTCAAGGTTGAGCTCCACAATGCTGTATATTGAAGTTCAGTCAAAGGCTGAGGAGACAGAGAATTCCAGGTCTGGTTTATCAGTCAATAAACAGGTTAAGCCTTTGTTTAGCGATCATTTTTGGGTAAGCAATTCTATAAGACAATTAAAAGCAGAACAACTTGTCTAGTGATGCAGACTGTTCACTCTTATAGGTCGAATGTCACCCATACCTGACCCAGGACAAACTGATCCAGTACTGCCACTCCAAGGACATCACTGTCACAGCCTATTGCCCCCTGGGATCTCCAGAGAGACCTTGGCGAGTCTTATAATGGGTGGTTATTTATTTTGATAGTCTTAAATATTATTTTATAACTCATCCATGTTGGGTATCACTATGGAAATAAGTATGCTTAAGATAACATGTTTGGTCTACATAGATGTGATTCTAGTGGAAAGAAATGCTATTAATATTACATGACCTTCTGAGAATGTTCTGGTTCAGCCACCAGTGAGGGACCATCTTTGCCAGATGTAGAGGCAAAGAGCCCATTAATGGTCTCTGAGAAGGATACAAAGCTTTTGTGACTACCTCCTTCTCTTGCAGATGTTCAGGCCTTTATGCTATCAGTGCAGTGATGTCATCTGCATGTTGTAGCTATGAAAATTATTCACACCAGCCATCTTCTGCCTCTAGGGCCAAGCCAGGGGAACCTTTACTGCTGGAAGATCCCAGGATTAAGGAGATTGCTGAGAAGCACAAAAGAAGTGTAGCCCAGGTATCCTATTTGTATTTTTGTTTTTATTCAGCAATACCCTCTTTCCTTTCCTGTTTACTCCCTGTATTATATTCACTAACCCTTTGGAGGGGAAAAAATGAGAAGTGAAGTCCACTGAAATGCATTGTTTGAAGTCCTTTTGCTTCTTGTCACATCCTCCAGCCAAGTTTGTGAGAATCTGGCTTTTAGTTCAGGTGCCACTATAATATCACTGTCTCATGAGCCCAAGCTATCTTCCTCATCTCTAAAAAATCATAGGGTTGCTTTTAGAATTAAATAAGAGAACTAATAAGTGATGAATTGTTAAGTTCTCAGTCCATATCAGCTGTTGGAATTAAAATGATAAAGGGAATGTATTGTGTGTTGTTTTTTTTTTGTCAGTTGTGGGGCTTGAACTCTGGGCCTGGGCGCCTTCCGTCAGCTCTTCAGCTCAAGGCTAGTGCTCTACCACTTGAGCCACAGCACCACTTCTGGCTTTGTCTGTTTATGTGGTACTAAGGAATTGAACCTAGGGCTTCATGCATGTAAGGCAAGCACTCTACCACTGAGCCACCTTCCCAGCCCTGTATTGTTCTTTTTACAAGGACAGTGGTTCTGTGTTGGTGAATAGGCACATGCTGTTTCTTCCTCCTGCACAGGTTCTGATTCGCTTCCATATCCAGAGGAATGTGGCGGTGATCCCCAAGTCTGTGACACCAGCACGCATCATTGAGAACTTGAAGGTAAGGTCATAGCTGTTCATTTGGATTCCTCAGTTGTGCAGGGGTGGGGAGACCCTCTGGCTGGATTTCTTATTCTATCACTCCATTGTTGGTAGAATGCTACTTTTTCATTATATCTTTTGAACTCCTTAGCTAAGGAGCTGTTTTAGTAGAGCCGAAGTGAAAGGCACATAGTCTAAGGATAAGCTGGGGTCAGTGACCAGGGAGCCCTGTCAGGCTGAGCAGAGATGTGCCTTATACTAATAAGCCCTTTGGTTGTCCTTGAACAGATAGGTTTTCAACTACACACAAAGGTAGCCTAGCCTGCCCTATATGTCCACCTTATTGCAACCTAGGAGCTAGGGACTAGTGTTGAAGAAATGTTCTTCTGGAGAAAACTGTGTTTCTAAGGGTGAACAGACACTGTACACACTGTTGGGATTTTATCTCTACCCAGCAGTCCTCTTTTTGCAGTTCCAATAAATCCTGCTGTCTTTGTGTAGGCCTGTATTTAGAGTTTGTATGTCTTCTGTAGACACAATGAGAGACATTCTTGTAGCTTGTGAGGGCTGTGGATGTCAGCTCACTCCCTGCCAAAATAGCCGGAGATCTCAGATCCCACATACATTTATTTTGCCAAGGATTCTTTGGAACTCTCTCCTTTCCAGGTCTTCGACTTCACATTGAGTAATGAGGAGATAGCCACCATCCTCAGCTTCAACAGAAACTGGAGGGCCTGTTCTTTGTTGCAGTAAGTGGCTCAAATGTCAGCCAGAAGAATCATCAAGTTTCTCTAAAGTAGGAGAGGGGTAGCTGGAAGGATTGGAAGGCAGCTGGGATGAATTTTGTGTTCAAGTCCTATTTTGTGAACCTTTTCAACATTGAAATTTGACTCCGAGAATTACTTTGAGGAAAGATGCAACCTTAATTGTTCATTATTGTTTGAACTACTTGGCGTTAATGTAGAATTTTAAGAGAAGGTTGTATTATTAATATGTAGGAGTCAGAATCATTTATTCATTCATTGATCTTTTCACTAAATTATTGTGTATGTGCTATTGTCAGACTTAGTCTGAGTGCTTTTTGATATCATGCAAAATTCTTACTACCATAGACTTACATTCTAGAGAAGGAGAACAGAAGTAACTCCAGAAGCATATGCCAGATTGAAAGAAAAGCCCTACATAAAAAGGTAGAGTAACAGTGATAGTAAATGGTGGGTTATGATGTAATTATTACTTCCCATGGGAAGTTCTAGAAGCAGTTTCACAGGCAAAGTGATACTGCAGTTGAAACTGAAAGGGAGAGATGAGCCAGGTGGATATTGGAGGCAGACCATTCTTGTCCTGATGGAAGCAGGTGAAAAGTTCCTGGAAAGGGGTATTTAGAGGACCCGAGTAAGAAGGCCAGTGGAGCTGGAGGAGAACAAAAGTAAAGGGAAAGGGAAATACGTCTGGAGATGGACACCAGAGACTCAGAGCATGAAGGCTATGTAGATCATAGTAGAGACTTTGCTTTTTTTTCCTTTTTAGAATAAGCTAAGAAACCTTTAGAGGATGTTGAGTAAAGGGATGTCACTGGCATGTTTTAAAAGACCTGCACTGACTTTTGGTTTGACAAACCATAGGGCGGTGGTTATAATAAGGTCAGGAAGAGATGGCAATCATTGGGCCTGATAGTGGAGGGGTGAGGACTGATCAGATTATGGGCATACTGAGAGCAGAGCCGAATGGAGCTGCTAGCAAATTAGAAATATTAGCATTGTTTACTTTTTATTATTTTTCATTAATTTATTATTATTATTTTGTCTGAGAAACACAATGGAGTTGTTGACATTTAGAGAAAGAAGTGAGTTTGTTTTGAAATGTATTTGTGATGCCTGTTGGGCAGAGGGAAGTCAGAGTCTGATCTATTTGTGAAAGTGGTGGCCTGTTGGGCTCAGGAGTAAGTCTTTCTCACTTCTAATCCCAGCTCAACTACATATGCATTCGCTATTTGACCTTTAATTTCCTAGTGTTTCTTTCCTCTTCAGTGTTAGCTTACGATGTGCCAGGGATCATCAGCTCTTTGCCTGTATCATGACCTCATTAATACCTACAGCAACCACAAAGCTGTCAATGACAGTACAATTTCCCACTTCAAGACATGGCGAGAATCAGTTGGAATGATATTTTAGGGAACTTCACTTTGGAGGCCATGATTATAGCTTCCTTCTGGTAACCAGGTCACTACTTACTTATCTGCCCTCACTTCTCAAATACTGCCTCCCATCAACTTGAGGAAGGGCTTGCTGTGAGCGCCATTAAAGTGCTCTCACAAGTTTGGGGAGGGGAGGAAGCTGAGAGAGCACAAAGATGACAGAATATAACACCTAAGCATACCTCTGAGACTGTCCACTGTGCTTTTGTGGACTATTTTCTGTCATTTTGGGTGGATGGGACAAAATACCCAAATGAACAAGTTAATGGAGGAAGAATTCATTTTGGCTGTTGGTCTCACAGGTTTCCTTCCATGGTTGGTTGGCTCCATTGGTTTTAGGTCTTAGATGAGACAGATATTCATAGCACTGGCAGTATGTCATAGAGAAAGCTGGTCAACATTTGTCACATAGTAAGCAGAATTGGGAAGACAGAATGAGCCAGGGAAAAGACATTTCACATGCTTGCTCAAAGTGAACTACTTGCTCCAGCCTGGTCTCACATTGTTTCTACAATCTTCCAATAATATTATCAAACTATGAATCAATCAGTGGATGAATCTACTGACTAGGTCAGTGTTTTCATTACCTTTCAGAGTAGATCCTGGAGTTGGGACCAAGCTTTCAGAACATGGACACCTTTCGAGGGATACTTTATATTCAAAGCCTAACAATTCTCCTTTTTATGCTTGATATCACCACAGGTTTTCTCATTTGAGTGAGTATCCCTTCCATGCTGAATACTGAAGCCCAATGGCCTTGAGATCACCTGATGGGTGTTCACTCTCTGCTGAAGTGGAATTTTCTGCCCCTGATATTTCACCAAAGGTGATCTGAAATCATACTGTGCCTGGCTCTCTTGTTGGCCAGAATCTGAGTTTTGCTGGATACAGGTCCCTGGACAAACCAGTGGCTGAGGACCACAGGGATGTATGACTCAGAGACACAAGCAACAAAAATTTTTTCCACATATTTGATTTGCTTAAATGTTTGCCGAATACCAGGAAATCTGCTAGGATTCTGCATACAAAGATGAAAATAGTAAAAATTATGAAACCAGTTAATGTGTATGGAGAGTTTCTTATGCACTGACACACTGAGGTACTCTGAATGGATGACTCCATGAAATCCAGCTCTTACCCTTCACATTTCACAGAAGAGGAGGTGAAGGAGGGGCAGGTTAAGGGAGTTACTCAGGCTACCTTGGTGGTAATTGACCAAATCCAATTTCAAAGGAAGTCAGTCACAGAAGGTGTTCCTTTCCTTACTCTTTCTCCCAAGGAAGCAAAGAAGGATGGCAGGACTGGGCCAGGAATAAGACTCACTCTTTCTTTTTGTAAATATAATTTTGTTATTATTCAGGTGTTGTACCGAGGGGTTACCACTTTATAAGCCCCACAACCAACCAAAAAATTAATTAGTTAATTAATTAAAAAAGAGCAGATTCCATTCATATGAAAAAAAATTGCACAAGGTAGGGCTGTTCCCTTGGCTACTATCTCTCCCTGGGATGCCCCAAATATCAGGACATTTCTCTGCCTTGGACTTCATTTCTTTGTTCACTTATTGTCTTGTAAATGACTCCTTACTTTACCACTGTATGTATGATCAAACTACGTCATCTGATAGTCCCTCTTGCCTCTCTCAGCTTGCTTTTTCTGCAAAGTATCTGTTGAACATATTGTACATATAGTTTACAGACTTTCACTAGAAAGTAAGCTCCATGAGTGAAGGGATTTCCTCCCTTACCTTCTTCTAAGAAGTTACAAGTGTTTTCTGTCTCACCAATTGCTGTGTTCCTTGTGTCCCAATAATATCTACAGAACTCTGGTGGGATGAGACAGACATGTAAGGAAAGTGTTTTTGTTCCAAGTTTATAGCCCAGAAAACTGACAATAGATGTGTTAATTATTACCACAACTGGGTTTACTCGCAATAACCTGAAGTAATTCCATGGAAGACTCTACAACTGACCGTAAATTTCCAAGACTGTACCCTATCGTTACACAGGAACTGAACAGTAATTGTGAGTTTGGATGATGTTGAAAATGTCAGTCTTGATGATAAAATGATGATTTCTGTTCTCACTAGAGATAGTGAAGGTAAGACAGGAACTGAGGGAGCAGCAGCAATCTCTCTTCAGTTCTGTTTGTTCTACTCCACAGTAGAAATAAGTACCTTCCACTCATCAGAAATTTCTTGGTGTGAGTTGAGTAGAGCTTGATTTTAGGCCATAGTGTTAGGATCTCCTTTTTCCTGGAGCACAGCTTCCAGAAAGCCAGAGAAGCAGCAAGAATGGAATGACCAGAGTACTGCTGCTATGGAGTCAGAGATATTACTAGCTCTAGCCTAGAATTAGTCTCCTAAAGGTCATTAGCTATTTCAACTGAAAAAAGCAATTCCCCAGTGCTTCAACCTTGGTATAATACTAGAATTCAAAAGAAGAAACGGATTCCTCTATCTTTACTGATATGTAGAGTTCACATCCTTGCTGTCTTTCCAGAAATAGCAATAATCAAATGATTCCAGCTTTTGTTTCTCTTTTTTTGGAGCCTCATTTTTTCCCTAAGTATGTTGGGTAGCTTAAAATATCAATAAATTATTTCCAACAGTTTTTGAGGTCAGAATTCCAAAATAATGGTGTAAGCAGGGCTGTGCTTTCTGTAGAAGGCTCTAGAAAAGAATTCTTTCCCTCTTCCTAACTCCTCGCGGTCACTGGAAACTCCTGGGGGTCCTTGCCTTATAGCCATAGCAGTCCTGTGTTTTCCTTTCCTCTCCATTATGTCCCTATAACACCAATCATTGATTCAGAACCTACCCTTACTGAACATGCTACTGTCTTAATTAACTATATTTGCAAAGATCCTTTCTTCAATTGACAGCATTTGCTGAGGTTCTGGGAAGAATGGACATTTGATGGGCGCTATTCAGGTAATGTCTGACATCTGTCCATAGCCGAATGCTCATTTATGATATTTTTGAGTAGGACTTATTTTGTATTAGTTTGCTACCCAGTACCTAAAATAGCATCTCCTGACATCATCTACAAACATAATTTAGACCCAGTTTTTCTCAGAAACCTGATTATTTCTGTATATATCCATTCTCTGGGCTCTAGGGAGGCTGTAATGTAGTAATAAAGGTGATGGATGTGTAGTTGTACATTTGTGCACTTTGTGTTTGGATAGGTAATGTGTGCCTCAGGCACTTTAGTCCCAGAAGTAACATTCACTATCTCTGTGAAGGAACCCTAAGTCCCTGATATGACCAACGGGGGTTACTGGGTCATTACTCATCTCTCATCAATATTCTGTTTTTCAGAACCAGCCCAGTGGTGTCAATAATAACCTTCCCCGGGTCCTTAGCCATGCGTTGTCCCAAGACAGATGTGGGCGCAGAATTCTAAGACAACCTTCAGTGATGCTCACTCCTCACAATTGTAGTACTGGGGTTTCAGCCCAACCCCCTAACTCTGTTTGCTTTTGTTTATGTTCATGTAGGGTTTTCCCCTTTTCCCCTCCTGGGCTAGGCAAGCTTCTAGCTCATTCTCCAGAGAACCTGAGATTACAGGTACCATATATATGTGCCATCATACCCAGAATGATGCTTTTTTTGTTTTGTTTTGTTTGTTTTGTTTTGTTGTTGTTATTGTTGTCAGTCCTTGGGCTTGAACTCAGGGCCTGGGCATTGTCTGTGAGCTCTTTTGCTCAGGGCTAGTGCTCTACCACTTTGAGCCACAGTGCCACTTTCAGGTGGTTAATTGGAGATAAACAACTCATGGACTTTCCTGCCTGGGCTGGCTTTGAACCATGATTCTCAGATCTCAACCTCCTGAGTAGCTAGGATTACAGGTGTTTGCCACCAGTGTCCAGTGGTGCTTATTCTTAATACAACTCCCTTCCCTTGAGTATAGGCAAAACCTGTGACAATAAGATTTTATTATACTCTTTTATTATATTGTGTGGTAAATGGGCTTTGCAGATGTAATCAATGTCCCTTGACATTAATTACATTTGACTTTAAGATAGTGATTGCCTTTAAAATAGAGTTTATCTCTTGAGTATAAGATAGGGAGATGATCTCACTTAAAATCACAAAGGACGGGGTAACAATGGTGGACAAGAAATGTACTTATTACCTTACTGCTGTAACTGTAACCTTTCTGTACAGCATCTTTACAAGAAAATAACATTAAAAAATCACATAGGAAGGGTCTTACTTAAAATCACACGGACCCTTACTTGAGTTCCTTCAGTTTATGAGACAATTTCCTACATTGAAAGTGTCAAGAAAGAAAAGAGAGAGCAAACCTTTGTTTTCTTTTCATATGTCCTATTTTACTCATCATAAACTGAAGTAGAGCTGTTGACAGATGTGTACATACCAAGAATTAAAATTAAAATCACTTGAGGGGCTGGGGAAACCACTTGTGGCCTAGTGGTAGAGTGCTTGCCTAGCATGTATAAAGCTGTGGGTTCAATTCCTCAGTACCACATAAACAGAGAAAGCTGGAAGTGGCATTGTGGCTCAAATGGTAGAGCGCTAGCCTTGAGCACATGAAGCTCAGGGACAGTGCTCAGGCCCTGAGTTCAAGTCCAAGGACTGGCAAACAAACAAAAACTACTCGAGTTAATACTGTGAAGTGTATATACTGTTCTGGTAAGAATACTGTACATTATACATGTACAAGCTCTAAAATATATATGTGTTGTTTTCAGGTTGTTGATTTTGTATATGGGTTAAATGCCCTTACATTTACAATTACATGATATAAAGACAACCAATAAAACTCACACTGATAATTTAAATTTTCAATTTTTCTTTACTTAAAAATGATTTTTAGGAAGTGGTGCTGTAGCTCAAGTGGTAGAGCACTCGCCTTGAGCTGAAGAGCTAAGGGATAGTGCCCAGGCCCAGAGTTCAAGCCCCACGACCAACCAAAAAAAAAAAAAAAAAAAAAAAAAAACCTGCCACACACACACACAGACCACATAGAAACAAACAGCTAAAAGGATGAAAAAATGATTTTTAAAAATGTTTGTTTGTTTGTTTTAGACAAGTCAGCTTCAAGTTCACTAGGTAGACCAGATTGGCCTTGAACTCTTGGTTCATCTACCAGGCCTCTGGAATGTTGGAATAACAGAGGTAGGGCTTCCAAAATGTTGATGTTACAGGTGTGTACCACCATGCTTTAAATGACACTGAATACCAAACACACAAATTAAACTGTGATAATGAAAAAGATCATTAAACAAAAAGAGAGAAGGCTTTCAATTTTAATACAGTTATCAACACTTTACCCAGCATTTTAGATAAGAGCTCTGCATTTTCATTTTCTACTGAGTAATAAACATTATGAGCCACATTCCACACTGTAAGAGAAATGAGCCACATTCCACACTGTAAGAGAAATTAACAAGCTAGGTTCATGTGGCTTATATGTGCAAAAGCCTAGGCACTCAGGAATCAACATCAGAAATCAAAGCCAGCGAAGGCAGGAAAATCTGTAAGACACCATCTTCAAAATCACCAGCAAAAAACCAGGCTGGAGATGTTGCTAAAGTGGTCGTAAAACAAATAAACTGAGCAAGTGTTAGGTCCTGAGTTCAAATCCCTGTACTGCAGAGAGAAAGGAAAGAGGCAAGGGAGATGGTAAAAAAAAAGGAAAAGGAGAAAAGTTATCATAAAAAGTCTCATAACTTTCAAAAGCTACACTAAATCTTTCAGGATTGGGTTAGAATTAATATGAACTCGATTTATAATAGATTCATTTAGCATGAAATACAGAAGAAAAGATTATGTAACTATAGGTATCTATGTCCAATTCTCTATTAGTGAAACTAGAGTTAGTTTCAGAACTATTTCTACATTTGAAATGGGAAATGACAATGTTGAAATGCTTTTTCACACTGAAAGTCAAGCAGTGCATAACAAATGATGGAGCTCTGCCTAAGAGGCAAAACATCGAGCTCAGTTAGAGAATAAAATGGAGTCGCCCACTGAATTAAAAATGAATTCAAGGTCACACTGAAATGAATAATAAACAAGGAAAACAGAAAACTTTTATTCAGCTATATAGTCAACTAATAAGGGTAGAAGAGAGCCTATGGAATTAGAAAATCACCATCTTGGTGATTATATTAGCAATTAATCCACTCAAATAGTATCAGTGACCAAGTGTGGTGACACATGCCATAATCCCAGCTCTCACAGGGCTGAGGCAGGAGAACAAGGTTAGTTTAGGCAACACAGCAAGTTCAAAGACAGATCAGGCTAACCCAATCTCAAAAAAATAAACAAATCAAAGCCAGAAACACCAATTGATGTTTGAACTAGTAGGTCAATATTTCATGAGGAATAGAATATTTGCTAAGTTTCAAAAGTGCCTTTTCATAAAATACTCATCATTAAAGGGAAAAACATTACTTTACAGGGTATAAATTAGAAAAAACTCAACAGAAACCATATGTATTAAGCTTTATCTCCCCATATGATAAATTGTCACAACGTCCACAACTTGAAAAACACTCATGGTTAGAGTGTGAGCTTAGCATCTGCAAAGGTCTGTACCCAGCACCAGAGAAAGGACTTATAAAAAGGGTTTATTAAAGTTTTTTAAGTGCTTTGTCATTCTTTTCTTCCTTAGAATTTTTTCTTAATATCTTTTAAATAGTCATACAAAGGAGTTGCCACTTAACAAAGCAGCTTATCAATACACAGTATCTTGATCAATGTCATGCTTCAACATTCTTATCAGTCTCACCCATACCCACCCCTTCCCTTACTCTTAATTTTGTAGTGTATACATTGGATTCTCGACTGCATTTTCTCCTTCTTCTCCTCTTCAATCATCTACCCCTTCTCCTTCTCCCCACCCCACCCCACTCAAATGCCTGCTTCCTGGTGTTTCATTTCGCTGAGCTTTGATTTTTCCTAAGAAATTACTCTGAGTTGAATCTACACTAACATCGGTATATACTTGCATAACACCCAACCCATATTTATTTATAAGTTTACAGGCGAAATCTAGCTTCCACATAGGAGGGAAAACATGGATCCTTTGTCTCTCTGGCCTGACTTACTTTACTTAACATCATTTTTTCCAAGTCTTTCTATTTCTTTACAAATGGTACACTATCATTCTAATGGATGAGTAAAATTTCAGGTCTAAATTTTATAAGCAATGGATATTTTTTGCTCATTCTTACTTGTTTCTGCTGAAACTCAACCCTCAATAAACAGAGAGATTATTTTTGGTTTCTGTAAAAATAAAAAACATCTGAGGTTAGGTTTTTATTGTCTTGGTAACATTATAAACTTCAATTCTATGCATACTGGAGATACTCATGAATTTCTACTTGGTGTGTGCTGGTACTAGGGTTTGAACTTAGGGTTTAGATGCTGTCTCTTAGCTTTTTCTACTGCAGGCTGATGCTGTAATACCTCAGCCCCAATGGTTAATTAGAGATAAGAGGCTGGCTTTGGTAGGTAATTGATGGTAAGAGTCTCATAAACTTTCCTGCCTGGGCTACCTTTGAACCACAATCCTCAGATCTCAGCCTTCTGAGTAGTTAGATTATATGCATGCACCTCTGGCACCCAGCTGAATTTCTATGGTTTTAATGAGTTTTTCTGCACTGCTATGCTGACTTGCCATCACCATACCTATGCATCGGCATTGACTTCATTCTGTTTTTGGATTTGGGGCTCGTGCTTCCTGGCTGTCTAAGACGCATAATCATTATTCTTCCTCCCACCAAGGGCTGGAGACTGTAGCGTCTTAGAGGGGAGTAGGCTGCTGACAAGCACAATCTCCAAAGAAAGCTCATTCTTTCTGGGTGTTAGTTTAAAATAAAGTACCATATCTCCCCCAATTAACCTTTAGAATAAATCACATTCTGTGCTTGTAATCTGAGTTACTCAGGAGACTGAGATCTGAGGATCAGGCTTCAAAGCTAACGCAGCAGGAAAATCTGTGAGACTCTTATCTCCAATTTACCACCAAAAAGCCAAAAGTAGAGCTCTGGCTCAAATGGTAGAGTGTAGCCTTATGCAAAAAAGCTAAGGAACAGCACACACACCCTGATTTCAAGCCTCAGTACTGGCATAGAAAGAAAAAGAATGAGAAAGGAAAAGAAAGAGAAAGAGAGAAAAAGGGGGGAAGGGAGGGAGGGAGGGAGGAAGAGAATAAGTTAGTGGATTAATGAAATCACATACCTCACTCTTTCTAAAGTATTCCTATTTGCACTTCTCCCCCAAAGAGCTCTCTCTTCAGCTTACACTGCTCTCTCTCCCACATTACACAGACCCAGAAAGTGCCTCCCTTGGTAGAAAGGGATTTAAGGTGACATTTCTATAAATGCATACAATGTCCTGTGATAAAAATCCAACCCTTCTATCATTATCCTTCGTCCTACTTCCCATTCTTGAAACGATTTCCATAGGTTTAATTGTTCTATTTTCATATGCACATATAAAATATGTCAACAATATGAACGCTCCTCCATCCTCCCTTTCACTCCCTTCAGAGCCCATTATACATTCCTGGTCATTCGTTTTTAATGCATATCAATTGTGTGCAAAGGGGCTTTATTGTAGTATGTTACACATGAATATATTATACTTTAATCACAGTGATTCCCTCTATTGCTCTCTCTTTCCATATCTTCCTTTTCCCTTATTATTCAACAGCTTTCAGTGGATTTCCTTCTGCTATCTATCATTCTTTTACACTCCGCTTCTGGGTGTATACATCCCCTAAGCAGTTTCAGAGTCACGATTATGTTTTCTTCATGTATATGTATCTATCTAAGTCTTAGGACTAGACTCTGCCTGTGAGGGAAAACACATGGCCTTTGTATTTTGAACCTGGTTTATTTCATCAACATGGTAATCTCCATTACGTATGGATAAATGGATAATCTATCCATTATAGATTATAAGTGGATAATCTATCCATTTCCCTGCACATGACCTAATTTCATTGTTCTCTGTAGATCAATACTACTCCATTGTGTATATATACCAAAACTTTCTCTTGATTCATTCATCAGCTGTAGGGCATTTAAGCTGTTTCCATAGCACGGTGATTATGAACAGTGCTGCAATAAACACGGACATGCAATTATCTCTATAACATACAGGTATATTCCACCATGCACAGTTTTTAAAAAATCTTTTCCATTATTGACTTGCCTCTACAAACTTGAGGATCCTATTAAAAATAATTTCCTTGCCGGACTCTGCTGCCACCTAGTGGTACATGGTTACTCGGTATCCATGGTGTCTAGGCTAGGAAGGAGGTAAAATAAAGACAGAGCTGGAAGATTTAGATGTAAGCATGTAAATAAATGATCTGCAGTTCACCATGAGGGTATAGAAAAATGTATTAGTATGAGAAAACCAGAATAGTAAAATGATTTTGGCCTAAAATGATTTTGAGGTTGGAGGTCTTGAGAGTGGAGCTGCATTGAGAATATATCAAAAGAAAGGTTATGGTTGTAGGTATGTGGGAAAGACCAAGGAAGGACATTCAAGTTGAAGGTCAAAGAATTCAAGGCCTGCTAGTCATAACAGCTATTCGCATTCTCCACTCATAGAGAGTCTTTTTATTAAGGTCCATGCTTCAGTGCTATTTAAAATTTTTAATTAGCCAGCATTTCCTTTAAAATGCTAGTTGGACCGACTTGAATATTGGTTGATCTCAGGCATGTTCTATACTCTCCAAAGCCTACTTCTTCCCCCCACCCTTCTAAGTTTATGAAGGTTATTGAGAGTGAATCTATTTCCTCATATGTTCCCAATGAAATATGGGATTCAAGTATTGGCTTCATAACCACCTCTTCTAAGCCACATATAGCCAGCTGGAGGAATTCCTTTCTTCATCCTGTGGACTCTCTACCTCTGTGAACTTGGGGCTCACTCCATATGGTGACTCACTCTTGCTGATCCTCTGATTTAACTTTGGTGTGACTCATTAGGTCCAGAGCCAAAGCTGTAGTAGTACCCCGGACTCCAGCTGCCTAGAAAACTTGCTACTACTTTCAATACTTCACTATTACAGTTCTTTATTTTAATTAGTAGCATCTTTTTAGAGAAATCTATCTGTAAGTTGATCCCTCTTTACTACCGACAATAATAGACATTTTCCTTAGCACACAAATTGTAAGCCATGTGCAAAACTGGAGATAACCAGTTAATAAATAATATATATTACTTTGTCTGTACTTTTTATTTTACACTCTTCCATCTTATCTTTTGAAGAAAATCCCAAATATCACATTCTTTCATCTTTCATTTTTGAATCTAAAAGGTAAATACCATCCATGTTCATTTGACAAAAAATTTCCAAAGTTATTCAGAGCTATATCATGATTGAGAGTCAGTCCTCATACCAGAAAAAAGATTCAATTTCAGCCTGAACTAAAACCCAAAGAATCTCAATGAAGTTTTAGTACCAGTAAGTTAAACTGTACACAGGCTGTCCTGAAACTATCTCAGTAGATCAGGCTGGCATCAAACTTATATTTCTGCCTCAGTGTCCCAAGTACCTGACTTACAGGTATATTCCACCATGCTTGAATTTGGTATATGTACTTGATACGCAATATTTGATAAGTGATTAATAAACATTATACATCTATAATTAATAATATAAATATCCTTTAAGGGTGCTTGTCTTCCATAGAGACAATAACCAATAAGATTTTTAATTCAACTGCCTCAAAAATCTGACTAACATCTGACAAAGATCTGACTAACATCTGACTAACAAAACCAAGCTAATCAGCGCTGCATTCTTTCCTGGAGGCTGTAGGGAATGGTCTATTTCCTTGTATTTCCAGATTCTGAAGGCCACCTGTCTGCATTCCTTGGCTTTTGGTCCCCTTCTTCCATCATTAAGCCAGTAGTATCTACCCTAGCCACCAAGACTGGAAGAAAATAAATGTCACTTTAGGCCGCTTAGATTTGGGGCAATTTGTTATACAGCAATAGATAATTAATACACCAGAGAATATCCCTCACATGTTCATGGACACAAACTGCTAGCCATTTCCCGGGCATCACTGCTTCTTCCACTGATCCCACGGACACTTTGAGGAAGTGTCACCATGTATAGGCAATATCAGCTCTTTTTTTTTTTTTTTTAAACTGGGATCAGAATCTACAAGAGTCACCAGGACCACCTCCAGCCTGATACTTTAGTTTCTTTCCTTTTTGGGGTCTACAAAAGTGGCAAACAAGTGATATACTAGTGTTGGGTAGTAATGGAAAAAATAATATAATAGTCACAAAGGCTCTAGAATATAGTAGATCTGCATTGTAAACTGACCTGCATGTAACCATAGCCCAATGTCTGAGCTTTTACTTCTAGAAAGTTGGGTTGCCAATCATCCCTACCTTATAGCATGATGACCATCAACCTAGGGACACAAACGAGTGGGCACAGTGCCTAAGAAGGCGAGCAAGCAGAGGAAAAGTGGATCTGGAGCCACAACTAACATTTACTTTGAGCAAATTTTGTAACATCACTACATGTCCCTTCTTTATGTATATGCAATGGGGATAACAATGGCACCAGCTCATGAGATAATCGACACAGCACAGGACAGGATGAGGAAATGCACAGTTATCAAAGTAGCAATCAGAGATTCCTTAAAGAATGATGGTTATTTATTTGGGAATGAGAGCACACTGCAATGGAAACACCAGTGCTCTTTGCAGAAAACTGTGAAGGGAAGCAAGCAGTCAAGGGAGTGGGGGCAGGGAAAGCTTTTGAAAGCAAAAAGGGGAATTAATTCCCAAGGTAAGAATTAAATTTAGCTCACTGGTGGAGGGGCTAATGCTGGGGCAAGTGAACTGTGGAAAGCTTCATGTCTGAATTTTTACAGGCTTAACTATAGTAAAGATAAACTTTGTTACAGAAGTCTATGCTCTGAGACTTCAAAATTAGTAACATAAAGAACAAGAAGAGAAAAATCTCTTGTAAGACTTCAGAAAGCACTAGAAACAGTATCTCAGATAGGCAGTCATGGACTCTTCCCTGGTATGTTTTCTAAGGTATGACAGGAACAAATCACCTTTCACACACCGTGGAGAGATGGAGGGGAGGAGGACAGATGAATGGAGAGAGGAAGGATGGATGATTTAAGTCATAATATTGAACGTGGATATGTGAAAATGGAACTAGATAAATTGAGGTGATGGCTGGAGTAGGGAAAGATGGGGAGAAAGATAAAAGGGGTGACATTGATCAAGATGCCTGCACTCACATGCTGACTTGTTGAATTTAAACCCATTTACGCAACCACGTAAGGATAATAAGAAAAAGGGAAAATAAGAAAAAGTTTGACATGTGAAATAGTTAGGAAGGCAAAGGAATTACTAATAAGTGAATTAGCCCTGGAAAAAAAGAGAATATATTGAACCAAAAAATGAGCCCTTCTCTTCATCTAAGGATTTTCTATTGGTTTTTTGCCAGGGTACATTTATTCTTGGCTTCTCCTTCCACTGACATCAGTTCTGAACTAGGAAACCTCGAAGTTTATCATTAATATACAACTGATTTTTAAATAAATGAAATTAAATTTAATAATTATTGACGTGTAGAAAGATGGGCTAGTTAAATAATGAAGTTGAGGTCATATAGAAAAACTGCTTCAACAGATGGTGTACTTGGACATTTTTCTGTTTCACTCCTGGCTCTTGATGTAAAGTAACTATGCTTTCAAGGAAATAAGGAAGTAGTTTATTCTGAGTGACCATGGACTGGGAACACAGATTCAAGTTAACCTGAATGTCACATTTCAGCATGGAAGAGGCTATATGGGCTTCCATAGACATGGAACAAAAGAAAGTCTTAAGCCAATACATTTACCAATTACTGTGGGGGAGCATCATGTGGATGGGCAACAGCAAAGCAGGGAGATTCTTTGTAGATTTCAGGTGTCATGCATTGCATCCTCAGCTTTAGGGCAAAAAGCTAGAGGTGAGCAAGTATAGTGACACATTCCAAGAATTTTGATCTAGAAGTCACAAAGACAGTTCAGATACAGAGGTGGATAGATATCCACCTAGAGTGCCCAAGACAACCTTGGCTGTAGATTGGCAATATTCCATGCCTTTACAATCAAGATGTTCTAGTCAGCCAAGGTCAGACAGTCTGCAGGAGCATCTTCAATCCATTCCCATGGCTGACCCTCCCTTCCTTTTTATTTCATGTTGGCTTCTGCTGATTTAAATACTCATATTTAGGCTTCCTTCTCTTTGGATGTCAGTGGAGTTTCTGGGGAGACCTGTAAAATGCTACAGTTGTGGGAATAGGATTTTGCTGTAACCTATGGTTCCCTCTGACTTGTAACTTAGATCTGCTCCACTGTGTGTTCAGGCAGCCAAGATCTTCATATCATGATTGAATCCCTGGCCAGAGAGTGCTGATCTCAGATCCATCTTGCCTGAGCATCCAAGAAGTGTGAATACATGATCCTTACAACTTTCCCCATCCTGATTATGAGATATTTGTGGGCTTCTGACTCTCTTTTCAGTCAGCTTCTATGGTACACATGGACAGTTGGATTTCTCTCCCTGAACTATGGGCTACTCTTGACCACACACTTGGACATCTCCTAGTTTTTGTCATTTTTCTTGACGCCTGGGGCTTCTGATCTAGGTAGGATGAGTTTTTCCTAGGCTCTCTCTGGGAAGTAGAATGCAGTTCTTTGATTCTTGGGTTTCCCATATCAACCAGATGTCCTAGCTATACCTCCATGATATTAACAACTATTTCTAAACTGAGAATGTGGGTGATTTTATTTTCTTGCACACTATTCTTTTATTCTATACTTTTTCTTTTTCTTTCTGTTTTTTACAAGGAGCTACATATTGCTTTTATGATACTAAAACATAAAAGTGCAAACACTTTCATAAATAATTATTAAGACATTGTTAAGTGTGTGTGGGGGAAAATGTGTTATTCTTTATAATTAATCTTAGTTAAAAGATTAAGAAGCAATGGAGAATACATTATTCTGTAAATGGCAATGGAAAATTTTTCACCTTGAGGAAAAACATTAATTTGAATTCACATCTCACATAATATATTCTTTGACCACATAATTCCAATTCTGGAGATCCTATCCAGAAAACTTAGCTAAAATGTGTCTGGTGCTCTAGTTATACTGATATACTCGAACTCTCACTGATCTTTAAACGATGTATTATTAGTACAAGGAAGTTACAATTCCACAAGCCAGGTTATGCGTATGATGCATTGTGACCAATATCACCCCTTCTGTTCTCCCCCACTTCCCTTTCCCATCACTGATCTTCATAGCCACCAATTAGAAACTAATTGCCTAAGGAGAGAGGAAATGGCAGAATGAACGATCACAGAAGAGAATCATTTTCTTTCACGAAATTGTTGGTATCAGAGCATTGTGGAAAGTTTTTATAAATATTTAAAGAATTTGCTTTCTGGGAATGTTTAAAGAGAAATAGGAAGAAAATGACAGCAACAGTGTGTTGAGTAGCGGGAATAAAAGTGATTTATAGGATTTGTATTTCCAATCTTTTTCATGGCAAATCTTTTGCATTTGGGTGGGGGTCTTCTAAAGGGAGGGTCACACTACATAGCCCCGCTGGACTTGAACACATGATCCTTCTGATTTGCTTTCCTGAGTGGTGGGATTATAGGGTAATTATATAGAATTTTGTAATCAATTTTTTTCTTTAAGTAGGCAAAGTAATTTCAATTTTGGTTCACTATAAGAATAAAAAATCAAATCTTGTATAAATGAAGAATGTGACCATAAAGAGATCTTATCCAGCTGGCAAACAGGTAATTTCTGCTGGGTGAGGCTTGTAGAAGTTAAAAACAATGAGATGATCATAATGCATGACTTGAAGTACAGTCTTGCAAGATCTTACACCAAAAAATATATAAGGAAGAATACTGAAGAAGTATTCTTTTTAATCTCACACCAAAAATATATATAAGTAAGAATACTGAAGAAATATTCTTTTTAATCTCAAAAAAAGCTATAGATAAGAAAAGATAATCTACAGGGACATTTTCCCAACAACTCTGCTTAATTTCAGACCGAAGCCCCTCAACTCTCCTACCCTTACAGCGAATGATTATTGTTGCAAAAAATCAATTTAGGCAAAACTCCTCCTTTTGCCCTTGGAACCTTTCAGCGAGTCAGCATTCATAACCACGCGCAAGACTGACCTCAGCACGCATCTCGTCACTGCACTGGCCACTCATTTTGGAGACTCTTTCACTGTGTTTTATTCAGGCTCACAGACCTCTAAGCATTGCTCACAAAGCAATTCATATATTGTGGACCAGAGAAACTGTACTAGATGGTTATGTTAAATATTGACTCAAAAATAGTCTTACAAAAGACTAGAAGGTAGCCAGGCATCAGTGGCTCATGCCTATAATCCTAGTTACTCACAGGGCTGATATGTAAGGATCACAGTTTGAAGCCAACCCAGGCAGGAAAGTTCAAGAGGCTCTTATCTCCAACTAACCATCAAAAAGACAGAAGTGAAGCTGATGGTAGAGCATTAATCTTAAACAAAAAGAAAGGGAGAGACAGCGAGAAAGAGGGGGAGAGGGAGAGAGGAGAGACAGCGAGAGGGAGAGACAGAGAGAGGGAGAGAGAGAGGGAGAAAGGAGAGAGGGAGAGGAGAGAGAGGGAGAGAGGGGAGAGAGAGACAGAGAGAGGAAGAGAGAGGGGGAGAGAAGAACAGAGGGAGAGAGGGGGAGAGAGAGAGAAGGGAGAGAGACACAGAGAGGAGGAGAGGGAGAAAGAGAGGGAGATGGGGGGAGGGAGAGCGGGAGAGAGGGGGAGGGAGGGGAAGGTATTTCCTGTTCTGGAGCTGCTTCCAGGTGTCTACTCCTCCCTTGCAGCAGGGACCACCTCCTTTAAGAGGACAGACTGTTGGCAAACAAGCATCCCTCCAACTGCTTGCTCAGAACCATTTCTGCACCAACCATGGCCAACTTCGTGGAGCTCAGTACCAAAGCTAAGATGCCCATTGTGGGCCTGGGCACCTGGCAGGTAAATGCAAATCTTGGGACACGGGCTTCCCTTGGGGCCATTTGAACATGCATGGCAGAGGTTTGGAGAACTGACATTTAGCTCTACAAGGTGGACCTTAGCTGTTTTCTATCTTATGGCTGCTTATGATTCAAAGCTCTCACGTTGCCTTTATCCAGCATAGATAAGAGCTTCACTATCAACTTCCTAGTTGGCAGCAAGTGTTGAACATCAAATTGTAACTGTTTCCAGGGGAATTACTTATCAACCAGGCTTCTTCTTGAATATGTTTCCAATTTCAGGATAATTAACAGGACTTTGTTTTACAGGGTTATTTTAGTGGGTTTTCTTGCAGGCTGAGTGACAGAGAGAGAGAGAGAGGACACTGAGCACTGACAGCCCCAGCATGCCTAGCTGCTCAGGCTGTGTGTGGGTCTTTGACCAGCAGCATCGTGTGCCTTGTCAGCTGGATGAAAATGCAAGAGCTCAGACCTCAGGCCAGGGTGCTGAATAGCTTCTGCACTCGATCGAGAGGCCCATGTGCTTTCTGAACAGCATGAGGACCACAGAGAAACTTGGCTGGGCACCAGGAACTCTGGTCCTGCTCTGATTCTGTTATCATTTGGCAAAATGTCCTAAGACACATTCTAGTGCCCTGTGAAGCAGATTCCTGAGCCTCTCTTGGGGATAAGTTTGGCACTGTTCCTTGATCTTCTCCTTTCTCCATCTATTTTAATGGCAGCTTCATTCTAGTTGATGCGGGTGAGCTGTCTTTGGATTCTTCCATCTCTCTCTTCTGCCCCTCTGGCTCATGTCTGTTGGGTTTTCTTCTTCTGGCTCTCTTTCCTTCGGTGCTCCCTTTCCCATCGCCTCTCAGGTCAGAATGTATGATCCCTGTTGGTTTCAGCACTGAGCCATTCTCACTAGACATTCTTGCTTGAGCTGAGTGAGTAGGAAAATGTCAGTTTGATTCAGTTTTAGCCTTTCTTGCATGGACATCAAGATTAGCATCAAGTCAGAATTTTAATCTTAGCTGGAGATGACCAAGAATCACTTCCGGATCTGTAGTGAAATTTTCCAGAAATTAATTTTCAGAATTTTAAAGCAGATGTAAAGATTATAAAGAAAATTCTCTTCAAGACATGGGGATGATATAATGTTAAAATATTATGCAACCCAGGATATTTCTGAGGCCCTAGTAGCAATTTCTTCTCCCGCTGCTGTTGAAATTGTACAGCTCTGATTCATGTGCTTGTTATGTAGTGGTAGACAAGACTGAAGATGTTGTGAGAGGTGTATTTTTCAGGTCATCATTCCCATTTCCATTGTTTGGCTTGGGTAGCCTACATAAGAATGTCTTATTTCCAATGCTCTTTCTCTACTTTTGTTTTGCTTTGTTTGGTTTTCTGTCATGGCCTAAAAGCAAGTCCATTGTTTTAATATTTTCTATTTCTTCTTTTTCTGAAACAATAATTACATAATAGATTTCATCATCTGAACTTTACTGCATGTGCTAAACACTTCCCAGTTACACTCTCAGGTAATCAACACAAGGATGATTTGGCCTGGGGCCTATTCTACCATAAAGGACTACAGAGATAGGATCTGCTCAGGTTCACAATTTTCTAGATTGGCTTTATTGTGCAATCATCAATTTGCAGATTTTTTTGTCAGTCATGGGACCTGAATTCTGGGTCTGGGTGCTGTCCCTCAGCTGTTTAGCTCAAGGATAGTGCTCTACCATTGAGTCACAGCGCCACTTCCAGCTTTTTCTGCTTATGTGGTGCTGAGGAGTCAAACCCAGGATCTCATGCATGCAAGGCAAGCACTCTATCACTAAGCCACCTTCCCAGCCCCAATTTGCAGATCTTTATAACTACCTGGAATCTATAAGTTCCTCTAGACCATAAGAGAGTATAGTTTTAAGGAAGGCCAGGGGCACATTGTAGTAGAGCCATCTGTCACCCTCAGTCAGCTAGATGCCCTCAGGAATACGGATGAGTTATTTTGGCTAGAATAGAACACAGGGTCTTAATCTTTTCTTTTTCCTGTTCCTCAGGAAATGTGATTTCAGCCAGGCCTTGGTTTTCAGAACCTGGGTAGAGTTTAGTCTGTTGGAGGAATTCTTAGGATCAGAGGATCAGATCCTGTTTGCTACTGTTTTTCAGTCTCCTCCAGGCAAAGTCAAAGAAGCCGTGAAGGTGGCCATTGATGCAGGATACCGCCACATCGACTGTGCCTATGTCTATAAGAATGAGAATGAGGTGGGAGAAGCCATCCAAGAGAAGATCCAAGAGAAGGTGGTGAAGAGGGAGGACCTATTCATTGTTAGCAAGGTACACGGGCCCATTTGCTAGAGGATTTGACTTCAAGGCAGGTGGAAGTATCTGGATACTCTATCAAGTCTTTTTGTAAGTCCAGAGTCTCCTAGAACTCTTCATTTCTGCCTGGACTGCATCCATGGATGCAAGCATTCATACTCCAATCAGTATTGTCATGTGGACTTAGTTGTTCCAGGTGGGGATGGTTCCATTGAGCATTCTGGCACTCTGTGCATTCAGTTTCCTGTCAGAGGGACCCATCTGTCCAGTGGCATTGAGAGATTAAAGGTGCATGGGGCTGGGAAGGTGGCTCAGTGGTACAGTGCTTGCCTTGCATGCATGAGGCCCTGGGTTCGATTCCTCAGCACCACATCAACAGAAAAAGCTGGAAGTGGCGCTGTGGCTCCAGTGGTAGAGCGCTAGCCTTGAGCTGAAGAGCTGAGGGACAGCACCCAGACTGAGTTCAGGCCCCATGACTGGCAAAAAAAAAAAAAAAAAAAAAGAGAGATTAAAGGTGCAGTATGAAGGGATCTGAAGGCTGGCTCTGTGGTCTCAATGGTCCTGAGGAGCTCAGCTAGGAAAAACTTGAAAAATGGTGGCAGCTTTTTATTGTTATATATGAATTTCCTTTTTTTTGACTTTAAGTTCAGTGAAAGGTTGTCAAAAATTTTATTTAAAAGAATTGGAAAGAGGGGCTGGGAAGGTGGCTCAGTAGTAGAGTGCTTGCCTTGTATACATGAGGCCCTGGGTTTGATTCCTCAGCACCACATAAGCAGAAAAAGCCAGCAGAAGTGTCGCTGTGGCTCAAGTGATAGAGCGCTAGTCTTGAGATGAAGAGCTGAGGGACAGCCCAGGCCCAGAGTTCAAGCCTCACAACTGACCAAAAAAAAAAAAAAAAAGCATTGAAAGTCTTCAGTGTGATGGGTTGAAAACCATTGTTTTATATACAACTTACTTAAAAAAACCCAATTAATTCTCTTGGCGAGACCAAGAGACCTACTGTGTGTCATAGGCACATCTGGATAAATTCCTTGTAACGTATCAATGATGCAGGAATACTTGACATTTGGGCTAGGAGAATGGTTCAAGAGCTAGAGTACTTTCCTAGCAAGCATGACCCCCTGGTTTTATTTCCAAAGCTATTGCAAAAAAAAGTTTAAAATTTAAAAGCTCGACATGATTCCTACCCTCAAAGATCTGATAACCAAGGAAAGGGAAAGAGATAGATAGATAGATACATACATACATACATACATATATACATAGATACATACATAGATACATATATAGATAGATACATAGATACATATATAGATATATATAGATACATAGATAGTTACATATTTAAATATTTGGCCAAATATAATAAATGATCTAAGTAAAATAAAGAATGTTAAGAGCATTAACAAACAAATTCTCATTAACACTTAGGAAATGTCACTGGCTTACTGATCTGGGGTCTTATGTTAACCATTTGTTAGAGGTGGTCTATTGTTGATTTAGATCAGGCTGCAAATCACAAAGTAAGGAGAGTGAGTGTGATGTGGCCCTTTCTGTCCCCCATCCTTATGCCTCATTGTTCATTTGCAGCTGTGGTCTACCTTCTTTGAGAGGAGCCTGGTGAAGGAAGCCTTTCAGAAGACACTAGAGGATCTGAAGCTAGACTATTTGGACCTCTATCTTATTCACTTTCCACAAGGGCTGAAGGTTTGAGCTCCTTTCTGCTCTGATCTCTGGCTTCTGTGCAGACAGATGCCAGAATACAGTAGCTGTGTGGGAAGTGGGAGTGTGAGGGTGGCAGATGTAGGAGTTCTTGTGCAGAATAGGAAGGCACTGGCTTGGGTGAGGAGGTCAAGACTGTGCTTTAACTTAACAAGGCATATGTTTAACTTTCCATGAGGTTCTGAGAGAAACTGATGGATGGCAACCCAACAAGCTGCAGCTCCATATTACCTTTGATTCCATTAAAGGAGTCCCATTTGGGGAGAATTCTTGGGATAGCCTTGCAAAACACATTTCAGGGTTCTACCATCCTGTCAAACAAAGCACACTAGGGGAGTGGCATCATAAAGGCACCCATTGAAGAAACAGTGCTCAATGCCTGAGATTCTGGGATTCTGGTCCTCAGAAGTGAGAGGAACATAAATTATTGCGTTGTCCCTTGTGAGCAGTTAGGTGAGGATGGCATTCCATCTCTAAGTCTGCCTTCTAGATAGAGGTTGTAAGGATGGCATATGGCCAATATCTTCCCAAGGAAACTACATTCCTTTTCTGATATCCTTGACACAAAGTTTTAAGTTTATGTGGAGTCTGGCTCTGGGAGGTTATTTTCTATGGTGATAATGATGGCTTCTATAAAAATAATAACAATTGGGGGAGAGCAAGAGAAGGGGTGACAATGTTCAAAAAGATATGCAACCCCTCTGTACATCACCTTTATAATAATAATAAAAATGCATGAAGAAGAAAAGAGAATAATAACAATGGATTTTTAAATTTAATCCAGCATTTCTGAACTATAGGGATGTGTAGAATACCATAGATGGATGCACGGATTGCACTGCCTTGAAGTGTTTTTATCCCAGTGGTGTAGATTGGTTATCACGAGTCAAGGTCTTGCAGGCTGGTCCACCAAACCAAGTATCTCCACACAGATCCCCATAATATTTTTGTTCTGCATTTCACAGGCTGGGTCCGAATTCCTTCCCAGAGATGATAAAGGCAATATCCTCACCAGTAAGACAACATTCCTCGAGGCCTGGGAGGTAGGTTCCAGCTTCTACCAAGTGTTTTGGGGGAGGAGAGGGGGGAGTTATTCTCAGTCACCATGGTGTCTCCAATATGGAATTAAAAAAGCCCATGTGATGAACGTGTTTCTCTGATCTTCAATCTCTTTCCTGAATACCTTTGGATTTTAGGTCTATCTCATACTATATACATTTTCAATCCCAACACAGTGGAACTATGACTAATTCAATGGCAATTTCATGGACGTCTTGGAAAAGAGGAGAGGAGGAAAAAAGTATAAAGAAGTTAAGAAGGGTGACACACCCAAATCAAACTTGGCCCAGAACACAGACACACTTAGGCAATGTCATTACCCACTCAGGAGATTTGGGGAGTTTTGATCTCATTATTTGTTCAACTCGTTTGTTAAAGTTATTCTATAGCAACCTCAGCACATCCCTTCTTTGTGCATTAAAATCACCAGAAGAGTTTGAATCTCAGTGTTGTATCCCAGAGCAAATCAGGAGGAATCTCATAGAGCAGAACCTGGGCAAGAGCTTTAAAGCTTTCAGAGAGCTCCAAGTTACCTCTGAAAGGTTGAAACCACTGGATAAACTGACCCCAGAATACATCATGCTTGTCTCTGCCTCTTGAGCCTTTGATCCCACTTTCCTCCTGAACGTGTTCACATTTCTCCTCTTGATCCTCTATTAGCCTCTGATGCCAAATTTAACTGACCTTCTGAAGTCTCCCCTAGGATCCATGTGAATTCTTCCTATTGTCCTCCTCAACTCTCTCTACCGCTGTCAGATGATTGCTCCCTTAGCACTGAAATTGGAGTATAGGAATCTCAGAGGCAGGAAGCGCATTGTATACTTTTATAAACAATCTGTCTGCATGACCTTTCCCCAACTGCAAACCAAACTAGGGTTGGTGGGAGACAGTGAAGGGAGTGTCTCCAGACAAGGGTGTGTCTCCACCCTTTTCCTGGCTAACCTGGAAAGTGAGAGCAGCAAGCACATCAAATCTTCACTTTCTATTCCTACTTCTATTTGTGTTGGGGAGAGCAGCAGGGCCAGAGCCAGTCCTTGATGTTCTTGATGGAAATCTCCTTTAAATGCTTCAGCTAACCTTGCTACCCCGAATCACTGATCTATCTCTCCTACTTCAGAGAAGACTGATTCAGCCAGGACTCCTACAGTCACTAAGACTGCATAATAAGTTTTCCTTTCTACGACAGGTCATGGAAGAGCTGGTAGATGAGGGGCTGGTGAAAGCCCTTGGTGTTTCCAACTTCAATCACTTCCAGATTGAGCGGGTCCTGAACAAACCTGGACTGAAATATAAACCAGTGATGAATCAGGTAAATTCTAAATGGCTTCCTACATATTTAGAAGCAAGTACTAATGCTATGTACTGAGATTCAGCTGAGCAGTAGTGGCTAAGGTTAGTTAAGGAGTTGGGAATCAGACCTCTGTGTCTGGCCTTTGCTTTGTGTCCTTTGGGGTGGGGGTGGGGCAATAGAACTTCCTATAAGCTGCTCAAACCACCAGGCCATCCTTGCCTAGTGAAAGCGATCACTCACTCTTGCAGGTTGAGTGTCACCCATACCTCACCCAAGACAAACTGATCCAGTACTGCCTCTCCAAGGGCATCAGTATCACAGCTTACAGCCCCCTGGGATCTCCAGAGAGACCTTGGTGAGTTTTGTGAGTAGTGGATCTTTATTTTAACTCTCTTAAAAATACTATTTTATAATTGGTTAAGTTGGTACAACCAGGGACAAAAATAGAATATCCAAATGGAATATTACAATGATTAAAATGTAAAAAAAGAATAGCAGCATGCCTAACCCTCAGAGGATATTCCAGTACTTCTTTCTAGGACTAAATCAAACTGCTGAGGCTCCCTAGCCCTTACATGGGCCCATGGAATAGACACAGCACCTTCAGGTCCTCCTGCCTGCCTAGCAGATGGAAAAAGTTGAGGTGTTCAGCCTTGAAATAGCCATCATGGTGATCTCAGCTGCTTGTAGTGGCCATGAATATTCCTTTTGCTTCTAGGGCCAAGCCAGAAGAGCCTTCATTACTGGAGGATCCCAAGATAAAGGAGATTGCTGCAAAGCACAGTAAAACCCCAGCCCAGGTACAGTATGGAAGAGGGATCGCTGGGAGCATTGGAAGGCAGCTGGGATCAGTTTTGCCTTCAATCAAATTTTTCAGTTTTGTATTTCATTCATAGAATGATGAGTTTTAATTCCTTGGGGAGGAATAAAATGCTCTGTGCAAGTCTTTTGGGACCCAGGAAAGAAACAAAGATTGCCTCTGGCCATTGGCTTCATGCCTGCCCTCTAGCTGAGCCCCCCCCCGCCCCCGCAGTATTGCTTTTGAATCTGTACCACATCCCAGCCAGCTGACCCCAAGCCTCTCCTCAATTTCCTAAACAAGGGGAATCAAAGGGTTGCTGCTAGAATTAAAGAAGACAAGGACTAGCAAATGTCCCCATTTAATGCTCAGTCAACATTAGCTGTTATAGCCAAAGCCACAGTGGGCACGAAGATCATGTCTTTTCTCTTTACTACAAGTGGAAATATGCTGTGCTTTCCTCCTGCACAGGTTCTGATTCGCTTCCATATCCAAAGGAATGTGGTAGTGATCCCCAAGTCTGTAACACCAGCACGCATCATTGAGAACTTTCAGGTAAGATTCAAGCTTGCAATCTTTGAGGGCTCCATGGAGTATGAGCTGGGAAACCCTCTCAATGGACTTCTTTCCAGCGTCTTTCCTTCTCCCTACTACCTTGTCAAGTCTCAGGGCAGGGAGCTGGCTCCAGCAGAGGTGAGTCACCCATGGGCCTATGATTGGCTGGGGTAGCCAGGTCAAGGATGGTCACAGCTATTCCTCATACCACTGAGAAAACCCTAAGCTGCCATTAAGTAGTTGAGTCACAGGCCACAGGCAAAGAAAAACTGGTCTTCATGATATCCTTGCCTTCTAGCAGCCTAGGAGCTATGCACTAGACTTGAAGATGTGTCCTTTTAGAAGAACCTGTGTCCCATGGGAAACACAGACCTTGCCCATGCTGAAGTTTCTTGCCTACAAGCTTAGACTCCCACTTTTGGAACGATACCATAGTGGTTGTGTAGAAATGAATGTAGAAAACGAGTTACATCCAGCAGAAATAATGGGAGATACTAGTGCATCCTGTGTGTGCTGTGAATGTTTACTCCCTCCCTGCCTGAGTGGCTGGAGGCCTCGTATCTCACTGGGACTTTCTTTGACACAGGGGCTTTGGCATTTTCTCCTTTCTAGGTCTTTGACTTCACGTTGAGTGATGAGGAGATAACCACCATCCTCAGCTTCAACAGAAATTGGAGGGCCTTTGACCTACCTGAGTAAGTGGTGTGGGGGTAGCAAAAAGGTCCAGGAAGTTTTCTAAATAGGTAGAGTACTATCTCGAAGTGCTATAGGTAGCTAGAATGACTTTTGACTTCCAACAGTATTTTCCAGCACTTTTGACATTTTAAATGCGGCATCCCTAAAAATCATTAAGAAGAAAGACATAGTCCTAGTTGCTGCACAGCCTCTGAACTTTTTGTTGGTAGCCAGGGATTTAAACTTGGGGATTGCCTGGCATTTACTAGGCAGGTCCTTTAATACTTGAGCTACATCCTCAGCCTTTTTTTACTTTAGTTATTTTTTTTTGGATAGGGTCTCACATTTTTGCCAGGATGATTATCCTTCGACCGAACTCTCCAGTGTAGCTGGGACCCCAAGCATGCACCACTGCTCCAGGCTTGTTTTGTTGAAATGGGGTCTCTCTAACCTTTTTCATAGGCTATCCTAGAACCACAATTCTATTGATTTCTCTCAAACAGCAGTGATTATAGACATAAACCCCCATGCCATCTCATTTTCTGAGCCTCCTGATGTAGAGCTAGAATTTTAAGACATGATTATTGTCATTACTATGTAAGAGGCTGAAGTAGTCACTCACTTATTCATTCAATAATTCACTGGCAATATACTGATGCCAGACCTGTTATATGTGATCAAGATATCACATTGCATAAGTCCTTGCTTCAACAGGCTTCCATTCCAGAGAGAGCATAGAGACATAACTCAAAGTATATGTGTCATAACAGAATAATAAAGTAAGGTGACAGAGATAGAAAGTGTTTGGTCCTGGTAATAAATTACATGGGGTGAGATAGTGGTGGTTTTACTGGTAAGGTGACAGATGAAGTGAAACCTGAGGGAAGGGAAAGATAACATCTATGTGTTCAATGAGGATATTTGGAGGAAGAATATTCTTGGTAGTGAAAGCAGCAGGTGCAAAGATTCTAAAGTTGGATGCTTAGGGCATCTGAGTAAAGAGTCCAGAGAAGCTGGTCCAGAATGAATGAGGGGAAGGGCAGGAGGAAATGAGGATGTAGAACTCTGAGAACACATGTAGAATGGAAAATCGGAGAGGGGTGCTGGGAAGGTGGCTCAGTGGTAGAGTGCTTGCCTTGCATGCATGAGGCTCTGAGTTTGATTCCTCAATACCACATAAACAGAAAAAGCTGGAAGTGGTGCTGTGGCTCAAGTGGCAGAGCACTAGCCTTGAACTGAAGAGCTCAGGGACAGTGCTCAGGCCCAGAGTTAAAGCCCCACAACTGACAAAAAAAAAATAGGAGAGAGATTTTAGCTTTGAATGAGCTGAGAAGCTCATTCAAAATCAAAAGACTTTGAGCAAAGGAGTGGCATGATATTATACTTTAAGAAAACACGCACTAAACATTTCTATTGAGAGACTATGGGGAGACAATTATCATAATCTGGGAGAGAGATGCTAGTTCCTGGACTTGGGTCATGGTAGTGGAGGAGATGAGAAAGATCAGATTGTGAATATATTGGGAAAAGAGGCAAATGGGTTTGTTTACAAATTAGCAAGCATGGATGTTTACTCTAAGTTTTTGTTTTTGCTTGAGTAACGAATGAATGGAGCTGACATTTCAAGGAAGAAAGAGTGTTTGGTTTGAGACATGACTTTTTTAAATAAGTTTTTTATTGTGAAAATACTGTACAGTGGGGTTTCAGTTAAATGAGCAAGGTAATGAGTACATTATGCCTGATAGATAGGGAAGATGAAATCCAAATGTATTGATGGAGGCGTTGGCTGGTGGTCTCAGGAATAAGCCTATCTGGCTTCTAATCCTAGTTCTAACACTTATTTAAAAATGAGTTGCTTTCAGGTAAATTTCTAGCTTCACCAAGTCGCTGTCTTTTTCTACCAAGTAGAGATAATAGAAATAATTTCAGTGGACAGCCATTCAGTGCTAGCTATGGATGTGCCAGGAATCCCAAGTCCTTTGCTATCAATTCCAGTGCTATTTTCCAGCTCATGATGTGGTGGTGCAAATTAACTGAGATTTTATATATATATGCTGTATATAGCTGATCCTGGGACTTGAACTCAGGGTCTGTCCCTGAGCTTCTTTTGCTCAAAGCAGTGCTGTACTGACTTTTTGTGAGAGCTTACTAGATAAGAGTCTCATGGCCTTTCCTGCCCAGGCTGGCTTCAAACCATGATCCTCCCATCTCAACTTCCCGAATAGCTAGAATTACAGGCATGAGCCACCAGTGCCCAGTTCTGAGATAATATTTTTAAGGCACATAGCTAGGCACCAGGCTTCCTAAGAGCCATCATTCAAATAGCTCTCCAACCAACTTGAAGGAAGGACAAGGTGTGAGAACCCTTCTCATGGTCTCTTAAAAATCTTGGTAGTGGAGGGAAAGAGGCTGAAAGAACACAGATGATAGAATACACAAGAGAAAGAAGTATTCTTCTAATGCCAGAATTCTTTGCTTATTGGTACAGAACAACTCAGATGGAGGAATATCCCTTCCACGCCGAATACTGAAGCTGAATGACCCAATGAGAATGCCTCCTGGATTCCCTCTTGGCTAGTAGAACTCACCTCCCAATTCCTAACTGGCCACACTTATCTCAAGTCATCCTGAGCCTGGCCTTGTTGAAAACCAGTCAATTATTTGACAGGCGCTAATATGATTATGAGAAGTATGAGTCAGTGAAGCAAATGATTTTTTTACTTACTTGAAATGACTAGATGTTTGTTAAACATCAGTTAGCACTGCTAACAAGTGTGAATAAGAAGCTGAAAGAATAAACTATAATAATACTAAGTAATATGTATTGAGACTTCCTTATGAACCAACACTGTGGGAAGTACTTTTCAAATGGGACATCTCGTGCAATCCAACATTTATCCTTTCCATACTATAGAAGAGATAACAAAGCAATGGACAGATCAAGGGACTTGCTTAAGGCCACCCAGGTAGCAAGAGACTGAACCAAGTTTCAAGGTGGTTTGTTGTCCTCTCTCTCCCAAGTCTTCCCTGGCCTCTTCCTTCCTACCCATCTCTAGCCTTTTCCTTTCCCCTTCACACCTTGTCTATTATAATATGCCACCATCCCAATGAGTTAATACTAATGGTGGCAGAGCCTGTGAAACCTAGTGTTCATATAAAGAGAGTTTAGCATTCTTGGGAGTGAAGGGAAAATAAGGGTGAATCTGAAAAAAAAAAACACATAAAACACTTGCTGTTGACATCAATTTGGGACGTTTCTTTTTGTTTATAACATTTCTTCTTAGGAAATGTTCTCATTATCTAGACAGGAAGAGAGATTAATATAATGAGAATCTAGCCCATGCTCCAAACTCATATAAAAATATTGTTCAAGTTGTTCTCCACCAAGATAGATAAAACAATCCAAAAATTCACATGGAATCACAAAAGACTAAAAAGTAATTTTAGGCAAAAAAAGAGAAATATTAGAAGTATCACAATTCCAGACCTTAAACTTTACTACAGAGCTAAAATAACAAAAACAGTTTGATACTAACATAAAAATAGGCAAGCAGAATGGGAGGTGCTCTTAAGTCAAAACCTAGGATACAATATTATAAATCTAAAACTTCAATAAAAATTAATTTTTACCCACAAGTAGTATGAACACCATAATCCCAGCATTCAGAGTGTTAAGGGAAGACTTCCAGGTGAATGTGGGCTATGTAGTGAGTTCAAGGCCAGCCTAAGATACACACAGAGACCCTGCCTCAAAAAATTAATTTTTGTAAGTCTGCTCAGGAATGATCTTTGTCTATTGTAATATAATTCATGAAAATTCAATACTTATAATATATCCACTAACCACTGTATACATAGATATATCTGCTGTTTATACATTATCATCTCATTAGATAGAAAGTTTCTGAAAGCATGTCACAACAATGAGTCTAATAAAAATTAAAATGAAGCCCAAGCCATTTGGTGTCTCAACTGATAGTAACAATGGAGCATCCAGGCACAAGCCTGCTGGCCGGTGAGTCTCTCCATAGTGCAGGCGAGAGATTTAGCAAATTTTGCACATATAGTTCTTCTTTTTCAGTCCATATTCTTTTCCATAAAATTATTTCCATCATATTTCTAAATGATTGTTGGCTCTAAAAGTAGTATTAGAAAGACTGAATAAACGAGTCACAAAGCACTGGAATATAGTACAGCCAGTTGAAATTTAAAGGACTACATTAGTATGTTAGTCTGTAAATGACAATCAATATTTTGAAAGCATTGTAGCTGAGATTTGTAAAAAAAAAAAACCAGTTACATTTCTCAGGATTTAAGAAATAGTTCCCTCATTAATATTTGCAGCTTACCTTTCAGAACAGTAAGTCGATTTAGAGATGAGATACAGGATAGTCAATTGTATTTCTTCCCTTGAAAGTGGGTGAAATTTCTAGTGTCCTCCCATCCCATTGTATAAAAGTACCACATATGGCTGTTTTCTACAATAGAGAAGGGATTCATAGGGCAGGACAGATGGCACCAGCACTCCAGAGAGGAGAGGATGTATGAAGGAAATGTGGGAAAAGTTTTCAAGGAGTGGAAAAGCTCAGACTACTCTATAAGGAATGTTCCAAAAATATGAACTTCAAGATCATGAAGGTACCTAGAGGTAAGCACTGAGGTTTTATATTGTGAATTTAGAGTTGAGTCAATATGTTGAAACACATGCTTGCTTAGAAGGTCAGCTTCAAGAAAGCTGACTTGAAGTATTGGGGATCAGGAAGGTAGTTAGGAGCAATGGGTTCCTGGATGCTTGATGGTATCAAGAAAGTAATTCTTAAGTAGAAATCCTTCAGGGTCATTGAGCAGAAAATATCTGGCAGCAGAAGGAATACCATGCTCATGGATAGGAATGAAATGGTTCCAGACAATGAACTTAAGAGCACCTGTCATTCCTCCCACTGCTTATGTCTAACCACATCTCTAGCTTCCATTTGTATGGGGCTCAAGCTCTTCTTTTGCTCAGCATACTGATCTTTGTATTC